TACAATATAATATGAGTCTTTATTGAAAGTTACAAAGGCGACGCTTGTAGTTGAAAGGAAGGCGGCATGAAGTAAGAGTAAGGAGACTTAATGCGTGGTCTACAATGGGCAGTAGTAGTAGCGGATGAAGCAGTAAGACGTCGCAGTAAGCTGGTTTTTCGGTATTATAGGGCGTAGAGTAAAGGTTGGATTATACTGGCCGTAATCTGTTAACTTATGCTGTAATCTGTAAAAATTGACCAATTATAATCGATTATTCCCCTCTCATTCGACTGTGATTGGTCAATTTTTACAGATTACGGCATAAGTTAAAAGTTTACGGCCAGTATAAATCAACCTTAAGTTCGTAAGCGAAATGGTTGAAATCCATTTCTTACGTCTACTCTCTTAAGCGGGGAGCACAGACTTTTGCATAACGCATAAAGCATGTGCATAAGGAATTTCATTGGCCCATTTTCTTATGCATGAGTCAATGGACCAATCAAATTCTTTATGTATATGGTTTATGCGTTATGCAAAAGTCTGTGCTCCCCGCTTTACTCTCAACCAATGAGAACTCACAATCAGTAGCATTCAGTGTAAAAAGAAAACGCGCGCAAGAAGCTAGTGCTCTTTTTGCATGCTATAACCTAAATTAAAGCATAGATGCAACACATTGAGCAAAAATTCAAATTGCTCTGGCCATATCCGAGTATATCGGAAAAATTCTTCGTCATCAGTTATCATCAATTCGCGAAATAGGTTATGGTTAAAACTTATATGTTTGCGCTTATTCACAGATCGTATCCACCATCTCCGACCAATAATAGACCTCTTCATCTGAATAATGCCCGATTGCAATATTAGGAGCTGATTCTATAACATCATAAATAATGTAATAAATCCAATTTTTTGTCAATCCATAATTATGGATATAAAGGATAATGCTCTTTCGTTACTGTATGGCTGTAAGTCATTGTAGACACTCAGCGTAAAGAGACTCAAATCCTACAGCCTACTTCTAATGTCTACTCCATAATCCACTACTGCTACTGCTCATTGTAGACCACGCATTAAGCCCGATCTACAATTGCGTAAACGTAGTTGTAGTTGTAAGAATTGACTAATCACAGTCGAATACGAGGAGAATATTCGACTGTCATTGGTCAATTCTTATAACTAAACCACTTACAACTACATTTACGCAATTGTAGATCGGGCTTTAACTAGATAGGATATGGAGAAAAAAGTTGGTCACAAAAAATGTTCCGTGTACTGCCATGTCCGCCGAACGGAATAACTTGCAACATTTCATCGCCATATTGAATATTTATATGTGTGCAGTATACTTGCGACTCTGTATACGTATGTGTACACATATACATAATATATATTGAATCGGGATGACAGATATGTTAACCTGTAAAGTCTCGAACTTTAACGCTTAATAACTAGGTTCACAAGACCGATCCCCGCATTTTTCTTATAGATTCTTTCGTTCTGAGTGAAAACGCAACGAATGAGTATAATTTTATTAAGATTTTAGGAAAGCAAGCTATACTCTACCTTTTAGAAGACAAATACGTGTCTTAAACGCATAAAAAAAATAAATCACAAAAGATCAGTATTAATTTTAATAGAATTCTTATACCAAATTGTCTATTTTAACGTAATACATTTTATTACTGAAAGATAATGAAATAGATTAATATGTATATTAGACTGGTCGTTAAAATTTAAATTTCTTGAGGCGCCCCCTGAAAAGCTTCCTTTTGATGAAAAAACACTAGGAAATTTTTTTTTTATTTTTTTTTTCAAATTAACACGTGTCGCAAGACGATCTAAGCTAATTTTTTAGTAAAATCATGATTTTTTGGTAATTTCTCGATGATTATTATTTGTTATATTTTTTTCTTTTTCTTATAAAAAACACTGACATTTTTTATGAATCCTCAAATTTTTTCAGAGTGGGATTTTACCATTTTCTAATTTTTTTCGATTAAAAAATTTTTTATTTCGATTAAAAAATTTTTTTTTTTCGATTAAAAATTTTTTTTTAAATTCGGCTTATTTTACATAATTCAACTCTGGAAATTTTTTGAAAATAGAATCTATATATATTTTCATAAAATTTCCAGAGTGGAATTATGTAAAATAAGCCAAATTCAAAAAAAAATTTTTAATCGAAAAAAAAAATTTTTTAATCGAAATAAAAAATTTTTTAATCGAAAAAAATTAGAAAATAGTAAAATCCCACTCTGAAAAAATTTGAGGATTCATAAAAAATGTCAATGTTTTTTATAAGAAAAAGAAAAAAAATATAACAAATGATAATCATCGAGAAATTACTAAAAAATCATGATTTTACTAAAAAATTAGCTTAGATCGTCTTGCGACACGTGTTAATTTGAAAAAAAAAATTTCCTAGTGTTTTTTCATCAAAAGGAAGCTTTTCAGGGGGCGCCTCAAGAAATTTAAATTTTAACGACCAGTCTAATATACATATTAATCTATTTCATTATTTTTCAGTAATAAAATGTATTACGTTAAAATAGACAATTTGGTATAAGAATTCTATTAAAATTAATACTGATCTTTTGTGATTTATTTTTGAAATATAAAAAATTATTATTTTGATCTCTCACCTAGAACACTATATCTGATTCAAGATTGTGGAGCACATAAGAATTCTTTTTAAATTAATACTCATTATTTGTAATTCATTTTTGAAATATAAAAAGCTGTTTAGTATTAACTCCAATCAAAGTAGTAGCAATCTTCCTTGAAAACGTTATTATATTATAAAATTGCATTATTTTATTCATCTCAAGTGTTACCACAAAAAATTAAAGTAACGGTATAAAATGAAAAAAATTAATTTAAATAGAAAAATTTTTTATGTAAAAACACTTGGTGCTGCTAGATCGAATAAGAAACACTATAAAACTACTTAAAAGTTATAACTAGTAGTTTTTAAAACAGGGCTGGAGGCAATACCATGTTTCCTGACAATTAATATATAAGAATAGACGTAAAGGTAATGATAATTTGAAAATAAAAGCAAACTTAATCTGAATGTTACATTTAATAAAAATAGAATTTACTGTTTATTTCTTTTTTATATAATTCATTCGCATACATATTATACGCGAATATACACACACTGGTACTTTACCATCGTGGGAACGTTTTATATGTTTTTATTCTAAATGTGACATCCACATTTTTACTATGAGGCGTTATTACATCGAGATCGAGAACTAGCAGCGCCAAGTGTTTTTACATAAAAAATTTTTTTATTTAAATTAATTTTTTCATTTTATACTGTTACTTCTTTAATTTTTTGTGGTAACACTTGAGATGAATAAAATAATGTAATTTTATAATATAATAACGTTTTCAAAGAAGATTGCTACTGCTTTGGTTGGAGTTAATACTACTTTGGTTGGAGGAATAAATGTGTTTGAATTAATTGTCTTTAAATTAATTGTGATATAATTCTTTTAAAGAAGAATTAAACCACTTGGATTGGAATAGGAAGATCTTTCAATAAGAATACAAAGACATATATTAGAGACTTTATTGTATATGAAGATAAAGATAGTACCACATTTACTTTTTAATTTAGTAGAATTTAAAGAATAATATAATTTAACTTGGCGCCGACTATTGATATCAAATCTTTTATACAAATAATACAGTCATTAGATTTAAGTAAATAAGAATAATATCATAGGTTTTTAAAGATGGTTTTACTAAACAGCAAATGTAATTAATCAGTTTCTCAGTCGATTAAGTAATTGGCGTTGGTGATAGAATTTAACTTGGCGCCGACTGTTGATATCAAATCTTTTATACAAATGATAAATGTTCGTTAAAATTAAGTAAGTAATAAGGTAGAATTTAACTTGGCGCCGACTATTGATATCAAAACTTTTATACAAATGATATATGTCATTGGAATTAAGTAAATAAGGTTAATATCACGTAGATTTTTAAAGATGGTTCTACTAAACAGCAAATGTGATTAGTCAGTTTTAAGGCCGCAGCACACACTTTTGCATAACGCATAAAGCATGTGCATAAGGAATTTCATTGGCCCATTTTCTTATGCATGAGTCAATGGACCAATCAAATTCTTTATGTATATGGTTTATGCGTTATGCAAAAGTGTGTGCTGCGGCCTTTACAGTCAATTAAGTAATTGGCGTTGGTGAAACTGTTTATATAACATGCATAAGCAAATATAAATAAAAACATATAGAAACGTATATACAAGGCGTTGATAAAAAATGCTTTCCCATTTAAGTTGAAAAATAACACGAGGCAGATATACGCTTCTTCCAGCAATTTTAAACAATTTTTTTATGTAAAAAAGCTATAATTTGCGATTTTCTTTCGTAGCTTCGTTGAAAAATACAAAACGCGTTACTTTTATGTCTGCAATAGTTATTCGATTTTTTATTACCTAAGTGTGGAATAAAGAGTTGCGTTCATAAATAAAAAAAAAAGAAATAACGCGATAATTTATTTCGTAAATAACATTTTTAGGAGTTTGTAAATCGTTAAGATAAATTAAGAATAAATTAACGTACTGAAGATACATTAATTTATCTTTAATATAATACATCCTTTGAAGATATATTAAAGATACATTAAGAAATATTATGTTAGGAGACAATTTTTCGAGAAATGAAGATAGAAAAGGGAAGATAAAATACAAAATAAAATCGTACAGTATTATATTGTATATTCTCAGATTATATTATAATCACGTAGTAAAGAAGTGGCGGTATTAACAATACAACGGCTACTTTCTCGCAGACAGTCGCATCGTCCAAGTTCGCATTTACATTTCGGACGCATACAATTGGTCTACCGTAGTTCTTTGTGATTTTGCTGTTTTATTAATAACATAGAAAATACAAAGTTACAAACATGTAGCTGCTTGTTTGCAGCGTTAGGATAGGATTGATCGCATTCAGCCGAGAAAACTGATTAATCAGAGTGCTCAGTGATTCTTTAATATGATTAATTCTTGGTTTTAGTTTTTTGTTGAATCTGAAGATAGAAATCAATTACATATATTAAAAAATGACTGAGTCTCACTAAAATCAGTTTTCTCTGCTGAACTCAGCCATTACCTTCATGTTACAATATCTGCATAGAAGTACATGAACAGAGGCCAGTCGGGCCAGTTCTCTCTTCTCTCTCTCTCTCTCTCTTTCTCTCTCTCTCTCTCTCTCTCTCTCTCTGTCTGTTGATTAAATATTAAATTAATGAACGTGGGGTACATCAATATTCGATTAAATACAATAGAGATATTCTGTAATCGTGTAACATACAAAATGTGGCTACATTAACGATCTGTTTCGATTCTGCGCGACCACTCCGTACGCGTGTTTTTGCGTGCTTTGGTATTTCCTACTCGTCGCGTATCACTATCGTGTAAATTTCGTATAATGCTATTATAATAAGCACATTATAATTGGAGTATCATTATATAATTATGGTTTATGTAGTCTAATTGACGAAGTGGAATTTAAGGGACATTGGGAGGGTTTCAGGCTCGACAAATTCGGTCGTCCATACGTGATCTAACGAACCGAGAGTTTTCTCGTGCAGAACAGAAACAGGATCTCAGACTAGGCTCGCGTCCGAGGTCTTTCTTCTCAGCGTAAACTATGATACCCGAGGTACCGCTTATCGCATAAAGTTACCATTAACTTAAGAGACGTTATCGCATCCTCTCAGATCTACGTGAATAATTTTGGCGGATCGCCATTTCCCTTGGCGAGTTTCTCTCACCGACAAAATTTCTGCTCAAGAGGCAGTCACTTTCCTCCTCGAAAATTATTGCTAGAAGCACTTCATTTCGTTATTGGTAATTTTTTGTGCTGTCGTTAATTTATGTATATATCGTTCTTATTCTAGAGAAATCGCTTTAGTTATATAGAATGTTATTTTCTTATCTTAACGACTCGAAATCTTACATAATAATTGTATCAACTTATTTTTTTTCGCGATGGAAAACCGTTGTGAACATCGAGCGCTACAAAATTATATACTTCATCAATTAAACATCGAAATACTATCTTACTCTCTCCGCGAAATAATCACCGGTACCGAAAATCGACGACCATTATCACTTCGTATCCTCGTTGATCGCGGCAAGAAAGAAAAAAAAGAAGCGACGATGATACATACGCGTGCCGAGATAACGATAGAGATGACGTACATTTTTATACACAACGTACGCATACATGTCTCTACATGTTGCGAGTCTCTTTGACGAAGGCACTTAAAAAAAATGAAAGAAAATGGCACCGTCGGTTTCTCGTGCGCTTCGTCGTGTGCTATCTCTCCATCTTCATTGGCACTAGGATTGCATCTTAATGCAATCATCTTCGTCCTCTTCGCTATTCGCTGCCATCTAACTTCTGAATCGATGACTCAGATTCGCACGATAGCTTGTCATCGCGTCGAAAGTGTCCCTTTTTCGCGGACACTTGCCTTGCCACTTTATGTATTCGCCGAATTCGCAGTTGGGCATCGCGCATTCGTTGTTCTGAATGCATCTACGAGTTAAAAAGTTTGATATGATACTCGACCGTAGATCGAAGCGATTGGAATGTTCTTGTTCAGAAAGAATGATTTTGCTGAAGTGTCCGAAAATGTAACTACTCGTAGATACAGATAAAAATTATTTTATTGGACATAATTATTAAGCATACATGTACATAAACAATTACATCAAGCATAATCAGCAATGCCGCAAAAAATTTTTGATATTCTGGCAACCAGCTTGAGCATTCTGTATAATCATTTTGATGGTCTAACTGTTCTAACAACATTATTTTGAGATGTGTATCTAGCTAAACATCAGCATTTAGATACATCAGCAAAACCATTCTTTTCATGTGTACATTTTTTGTTAATATCGTTCTAGGAATATCAAAGTACTTTTTCATACGTATAAAAAAATTCTTGGTCTTTAATTGAGAAATGAGTTTTTATTCAGCAATATTTTTGGAGTAAAACGAGGTCACTAGCAAATATATTCGTTACATGTAAATGTTTGACAACGTACAGATGGAACTAAATTAGACTTGAAAGTCCCACAATGCAAAGCGCGGTTATGGTGAAATTTACGGTACAGCATACAAACGGAGTTCGCATTATATTGTCTTGTAAAGGCCGCGGTAATTAGTATGTAGGTGCTGTGATGTTTTACTGTCGCACTTTTAAGCTCGTGCCCGCGCACTGAAATACTTCGGCGGCGAAGTATGTCGTGAAATTGTTGCAAAGAATGCGTAGGCATACTCACATTCTGTCCGCGAGGGAGAAGTATCCCTTTCCACGTCTGGTCTTTATACAATTTTCGTTGCTCTCGAAACAGTTACATTGACAAACGCCTTCTGTAATTCTCGGTGTGAATTCCGATGGGCAACGACATCTGAAGTAAATTTTTTAACAATTATAAGATTAATTAGTTAAATGTTTAGTAAGCTATTGGCTAATGAGAAACTTTCTGAACCATTTTCCTGTTTATAAATGCAATTACGTTAAGCTACACACTGTTAGACATTGAAGGACCAATGGTAATTCTTTGAGTTAGAATAATATTTTGTTAATTTTAACTTCTATAAGTGTGTCAAAATGTACATCAATGAACACTGTTAGATACCAAAGAAGCAATCTACAGCAGAAATGTATCGCAGGACAGCCTAAAGATATCGTAATGTCTGTAGGATATAGTCTGTAGGATATTTCTGCTGTGTGGAAATAGTAATTCTATAAGTTAAAATAACATTTTGTTATTTTTAATTTCTATGTATGTTAAAATGTAAATCAATCTATTTCTGGTGTTAATGTCAAAAACAACATTCATATTACGTACGCAGATAATAAGCTTTGAATTTATATGAATAATACATTTTCTTGTGAGTTGAATTATTTAACTCTATTTTTAAATTATAAGAACATATTAAGTAGGAGCAAAATTGCGATCTATGATTAAAAATAAATTAGGTATTATTTGACATTATAGATTTAACAGTACACATACTTGTATGGTTAGTTTCAATGTAAGCAACGTTCACATTAATGTACGCACTTAACAAATAATAAATTTGAGTCAAATTTAATACATTTTTTAAATCAAATTGTTTACTTTTTTTGTTTAGTTAAATTAATGACATATTGAAGCAGTGGCGACCTATAGAAATGATTAAAAATAACTCAAATTGGATACATCTTTTTGATATTATAAATTTAATGTGTACGAATACAATACAAATAGATAAGTTAAAGTAATTTCAATATTTTATTTTTTATCGTTGCGGGGCATTAAAGATATGCCCTTTCGCAAACTTACGGTTTTCTCGCTGGCGATTTTTTTATGTTTTGAGGGGGCGACGAGGACTGATGTCGGTAGACTCTCTGGTCTGCGGGTTTCTCGTTTGTCGTATCATATTCAGACCTCTCTCTGCATTCGCATTCCGTGTGATTGTAGAACGATAGCTTCTCCACTACGCTGGTGCCACCCACGCTTGTGGTCTGCAATAAAATCAAGAATAAACATTGTGAGGACGCTAGAATGCACGCGCGATACGTATAATTAATATCGGTAAACGATGTACTCGTATTATACGCGAGAATTGAAAAGCACGTCCGAGAAACTCGCCGGTAGGTTCTCCTATACCGTTGTTTATTCGCTAAATATTTACTTATGCCGCAGTGCGGAAAATGGTTACACGGTGGTTTCGCAATATAGCCAGGAGTAAATATAGTTGCGTTAAGCCTGTAGATGATACGCGTAAGCAATTTTGTAAATAATGTTACACGGTACACAGGAAACTAATCCAACTTCGTCTTTTTGTTAAAGCTGTACATGGTGTCGCGGAATTGTCGGCCTTCCTTTCGCATAAAGCTCTTTATAAGGGAATACCCTTTCTCTCTTACTTTCAGTATTCTTTTTCAAGAATTTAATATCTTTCCTCTCTTGCTTTCAGTATCCTTTTTCAAGAATTTTTTTGAAAAAATATGAATTGAAAACTCGGTAGGTACATTTAATCCTTGATAGATATATAATTCTTTATAATTTCTTTCAAAAGATTCTTTGGTAATTATTTACAAATTGTGTAGGCAGATTAAAAAGAGAATGAGAATAAGCTTTAAAATGAGGATAAACTCCTTTAAACTACAATATTTTAAGGAGTTTTTTTTCGGAAAAAAATTATGATAGTTTGATACTTTATATATTACGTATTTTCACCGAAACCGATAATCGTTAGTATCGATTGTAAATGTGCAAGTGAATCTTTGGGCATATTGGATGAGCATTCTCATTACAGCGACGACGTCGCGCCGGGCTAACGAGAGCAACGAGACTATGAGGCTGCATAACATTATGCTTAAAAACTAGACTAGACTCGTACACGACCGACCCGGTTCTAATTGGGTTCAATTAACCCAGCTCACTTTTGTGCTCTCTGCCGTACAACTAGGCATTTTACCGACTGACACGCTGCCGGCACAGAAGCTGTCCGTATCATCGGGCCGCATTTAGCCCGCTTTTAATGGGTTCTAATTGCCCTGCATCACTGCTCGCGCGTACCGATTTCCGCTCGCATCTGACGCGATCCGATCGGTCGTTGTCCCACTAATTGACGTGAAATTGATGTTCGATATAAATAGGCGCACAACCACTCGATATGACATCAAACACCCGGCAGCAGTTTCTGTTTCGGAAAGAACAGTTTTGCTAAAGTACCTAAAAATTTAGTTAGATAAAGATTCAAAAATAATTTTGTCGGTCCATCAAAATAACTATGTAAAACACTAACAAGGGGACGCTCAAGCTAGTATATCACGGATTTGTTTGAAAAAAATTGAGGTGATACTTTGAGACAAAAAAAGTTACACGTGTTTCGGCATTTTACTCGATAGAGCCCCGATTGGTCAAAAAAAATTAAAAACCAAACAAATTTCTGCGCTAGTGATTGCCAGTTTTGCTTGAAATTTTTCAATTCATTTTTACTTACAAAACTATTACTCGTATAAAAAAGTGATCTATACACTTTTTTCTAAAAAATTCTCAACTTTTCGAAAACATAAAGTGCGATAATAAGCTTGGGCCTATCTTATTTTTAATATAAAAATTAATTTCAATATATATCCGAAATACGAGTCATTTTTTAATATAAAAAAACGCGTTTTCGACTAGAAAAAATTGAAACATGTTATTTTTTTCGGAAGGTTGAGAATTTTGTAGACAAAAAATGTATATATCACTTTTTTATACGAGTAATAAGGTTTTAATAGATATAAATAGTTTAAGCTACCAACCGAGCCATACAGTGATGTGCTTTACGTTTACGAAATAAGGTACTTCAATCACTAGCGCAGAAATTTGTTTGGTTTTTAATTGTTTTTGACCAATCGGGGCTCTATGGAGTAAATTGCCGAAACACGTGTAAATTTTTTTGTCTCAAAGTATCACCTCAATTTTTTTCAAACAAATCCGTGATATACTAGCTTGAGCGTCCCCTTGTAAGCGTTTATGTCAATGCTGTAAAAAATTTTAACAATCTGATAACCAATTTGAATGTCTTACGAAATTATTTTGATGCTTCGAACGAAATTACATATTTTCAGATCTGTATCTAACTGAATTTTAGGATACTTGAACAAATTTTTTCATGCAAGCATTATACACAAATTATGTACACGATAATTATAATTTTTTTATTTTATTTAGGAATTTCTTGCTTGTCCTAAAATATTATTGACCTTTTCTAGGAGACATCTTACAAATAAATTTAGTTCTATCGTAGCTCCTAATGGACATCTATTATTGTCCTCTTTACTATCTCTTTCATGGAAAGATAGACGAGGTCGGTGATCGATCTACTACCTTCTTGTTAAATTGTTAATTCGTTCGAGCGGAAGGAATAAGAATTCGGTTAATGGAAAGCGGTTAATTGAAAGTTAGAAAATAGAAAATTGTAAGAGAAATTTTTTGCGACACACGTCACATGGCAAGTAACATGTCGCGTTTGTAATTACACTATTTCCGCATTTCCGTTGGCAACGGGTTAATTGATGCACATTGTGAAAGCTCGGGATCCGCTGTGTATTACATGAAAAAAATTGGCCATGTATAGTACTACGCGTTTTAAAATTAAAGCGTACACTGCGACCCGCTGCAGAACAGGTGCATTTTTCAGTTTCTTTGCGTTTATTGTATATAGCTAAATACAATAATAAGAACCTCTATTGGAGTGAAAAATATAAATTTAGAAATTTATAATTATGAAGTACAAATTAAAACGTCCTAAAAGATGATACATCAATACTGCTATTCACAAGCTTATTATAATTATATCTTATTAGCTTATAATTATTATACATACATATATCTATATATTATATATATGTGTGTGTGTGTGTCTTTTTCTTTATTTCTTCGAACAGCATTTGATCAGATTCAAGTTATCTTCAAACTTCTATTTCGTAAAAAATACCTTGTGACAATCTTTATATTTTTTATGAATTTCACATATAGGATTTAAAGATTAATGCCTGTTTCTACTATAATATAACTTCAATTTCGGTTGTCAATTTAATCTTCATTTTTTTCTAATTCTTATTGCTGGAAATAGATGAAGAATAACTCAAACTGAGATTAAAGTTAATCTATATTGGTAGAAGCAGACATTAATCTTGTTGCGCTAGACATCTCTATATAGGCTGTGTATTAACGCGACTAAAATAAAATTCCTTTAAATAGGTCATGATACTTAATGATACTCAATCACGGAGATCGATGACAATGAGTGAGCGGAACGACACATTACGATTGTGTGTCTGGTCAACGGTGTTGAACAATCAATCACAGTTAAGATTTTATTTATTCGATTCCATAGTCCCGCGTAATCACGACATTACGAGCCGCTCAATTAATGCCCTTTCGCTATGTGGGGTAGTGCAAGGGCATAATTACGACAATCGTTTCTCGCGATGTCATTAAGAAGGCAGGATTGCGACAATCGTTTCTCGCGGTGTCTTTCAAGGTGGCGGAAAAAAGGCCGGAGGCGATATATTTCCACAAATAACTACGTCAGCCGTCGATCAATTGTTACTTTGGTGTTCATCGTATCTTAAAGTTCCGTAAAAAAATTCCATCACAAATGAAAATTGAATTTAGTTTGATTGAAAAGATCGAATTTATTTGATTGAAGATATATTGACATATTCTACTGAGACCATTCTAAATTCCCCATTGACTTTGTAAAACGGGATATGAATCCGTATACGACAAATTGCGCCCAAGTATTGTGCGAGACTTCTTCTGTCTTGATAAAACGCACGGATGGCATGGATCTCTCTGGCCCTATGTAATACGAGCTTCATCCACGGGACGTTCTCCGTCTTTCTCCGAGATGAGCTTCGTCAAGTTCATGAGGATTGAGATTCGCGATCGTCTCTGACGGATGGCCTGGTAGAGGGATCGTGGTCATAAATTTCATGTCTTAGTGCTGTACGTAAGACATTCTCTACGAGAAACGCACTCTTGCGGAATTGCTTGATATTCTTACTATTATTTATTATTATGCTTTCTACACGGAAAATATTCGAGATTATCTTTTGTCAGTAGTTATATCTCTCAAACAAATTTGCATTACTTTTTAAATTTACTTCTGTCTCACTACTGTGAATGTATTTAAAAAATGTTTATTAGTGATTTTTTTTTTTTAAATCACAAATATCGTGTTTCAATACAATCAAAAAATTATTAACATTTGTATTATTGTTTGTTCCTTAATCGGATTGAACGTTTGTTTCATCTTCAGTTTCATGTTTCTCTTGTTGCGTGCACTCAACATCAATAATCGGACGAGAATACATTTCCTAAGGGATGCATCTAGTCAGTAGAGAGGTAGTAGCGTGGCACGAGATTCCGTCGGTCTCGTGTTTCAGAATTTTTGTCTGGGAGCGACAGCGTGGAATAACGTAGGTATGTTTATGGGGTGCAGCTAGTGCGCTTATATGACTCCACGCCCATAGTATAAAGTCAGCTTAAGGACTTGTCGCCTATGGCGATTATGCGAGTTTCGCAGCGTGAACAGTATTCCATCATTCCTCACTTACGTTCGTTAAGTTCTAGAAATGACACGAAGTAATTTGTAATAACGAATCGCGACAAGATCGATGAAAATTACACGATACGCTGACAACATGATATTTATTATTAGTTTAGAAACAAGACTACTCAAAGGAGATTGCTGCGAAACATATTTTACTTTACGTTTTTTAACACCATAGTCTTTCGCACACAGTATTATGTATGATGATCGCGCCGTATAATTGTAATATTGAGCGTAGGAAGCGGAACATTTCAAAGGATGGACGATTTCCATAATGCTATAAAGATGAGCGATTTGCAAGAGAGCTTCGAAGGGTCACTGAGTCTCTCTCCCGTGGATCACGGGAATTCCGGAATTTAATTTCCACGAGGATTATCCCTCTCGCGGGTTCGGAGCAGCTGACCGGAC